ACAGAACTAGAAAAAAAAATCCAAAAATTAATTTGGAACCAGAAGAGACCTAGAATACCAAAAGTCATCCTAGGCAACAGATACATGGCAGTGGTTATAACAATACCCAGTTTGAAACTATACTACAAAGCCACTGTGATAAAAACAGCATGGTACTGGCAAAGAAACAGACCTGAGGATCAGTGCAACAGACTTGAAGACACAAAAACAACTCCAGATGTACTCAGGTACTTCATCTTTGACAAAGGAGCTGACAGTCCCCGCTGGATGAAAAATAGCCTCATCCATAAATGGTGTTGGAAAAACTGGATCTCAACCTGCAAAGGATTAAAACTAGATCTTTATCTGTCACCATGCACTAAATTAAAATCCAAGTAGATTAAAGATCTAAATAAAAAAACAAAACTAAACTTGTTGGAAGATAAGTTAGGCAGAACACTGGAAGACATTGGCATAGGAAAAGACATTATGAACAAATCCTCAGTAACATGGGAACTAGCAGAAAGAATCAACAACTGGGATCTCATCTTATTAAAAAGCTTATGCACTGCAAAAGAAACCATCAACAGAACTAAGAGACAACCTACAATGTGGGAAAAAATTTTAGCCACTGCTCCTCCGATGAAGGACTATTATCTAGAATATATAAAGCACTCAAAACTATTAGCACCCCCAAATATAAGGATCTGATTCAAAGATGGGCATCTGAAATGAACAGAATTTCTCAAACAAAGAAGTAAAATCCACAAGTAAATATATGAAGAAATGTTCCATATCACTGGCCATTTGAGAGATGCAGATTAAAACAACACTGAGATTGCACCTCACCCCACAAAGAATGGCTGCTATCAAGAAATCACTCAATAACAAATGTTGGCAGGGTTGTGGGGAGAAAGGAACCTTTCTCCCTTTTTGGTGGGAGTGCAGTCTAGTGCAGCCACGATGGATATCAATATGGAGATACCTCAAAGAACTGGGACTAGAGGTTCCATTTGAACCAGACATCACTCTTCTGGGTATCTTTCCAAAAGAATTAAAAGAATCATACCAGAGGGATATATGCACAGCCATGTTTAAAGAGGCACAATTTGTAATAGCCAAAACTTGGAAACAGCCCATTTGCCCATCAGTTGGAAACTGGATAAAGAAGATGTGGCTTTTCTATAAAATGGAATACTACTCAGTCATAAAGAATGAGAAATTAGATTCTCTCATAGGAAAATGGATACTTATTGAGGATATACTCTTAAGTGAAAAAAGATAAGTCACATGTGTGTAAATACCAAATAGTTTCTCTGGTGTGAAAAACTGTAATAGTACACAAGATCCTAATGGGATAATTATCAATGTGAAATAGGAAGAAAAGGGCTAAAGGTGTAGGGAAGTGGGATGGGTAGGGGAAGTGTAATAAGGGAAAAGAAAAAATGTGAGAAAATGAAAAGATGGAAATAAAGTGTCTGTAAAGGGGGTGGGGAGGAGGGGTGAAGGGAGGGCAGGGACAAGGGGAAAAAATGAGAACCAAGATCTGTCATGTAAAGGTACAAGATCCCAATAATGAATGTAACTGTACTCTAGACCTAAAATGTACCGATTAACTCAATGAAAAAGAAAAAGAACTCCTATTATACAGGAGGCATTATATACATTTTAATGATTAGTTTATTATTAATACATTTTAAAATATTGAACATGGATTTTGAATTTTTTTATGTGAGGATGTATTATCAGTAGTACAAAATCAAGCCATGTTTGAGAGAGTTTATGTATCTAATTGCATAATAAATAATCCATTTAAAATAACCTCACACCCAAATATGGATTTGTTAGGATCTTATCTCTACCACTTACTGGTTATGGCTTGCTGGACTCTATTTAATTTCTCAAAGACTAATTTTTTCCTACCTTGAAGGTAGATAGAATAGAAATTAAAAAGGTATTACTAAGCAATTTTTTGCTACCTAAACTACCAAAAATGAGCTGAAATTTTGTGAGACTCTTCCTCTGTAGAGTCAGTATGAACAATTTAAAGTCTCCAGTTGAGTGATTCTACAAGATCCCTTCCTGCCTTCACCTACCTGAGTAGCATCATTCCATCCTGCACTTCCTTGCTCAAATCTAACCATGAAAGCCTGTGCAGCACATTCCCACCCACTGTGTTCCCCATCATTCTAAACTGGTCTAGCTGTGTTTGATCATAGGACTACTCTCCCTTAAATATATGATACGTTTTTTCTTATTTAGTATGTTTCCTATTTATATCTATAATTTCTTTCTACGAGTCACAAATAAGCAGATTTATCTTGCTGTTTTGTTTTGTTCAGTGAGCCTCTCGAAAAATTTGGCATAGTACCTGGTACATATTATGAATTCAAAAATCTTTACATTTTGTTTAATATTGATTGATTGATTGATAGACTGATTGAGACAGGGTCTTGCTAAGTAATTCAGACTTGAAATTACTACATAATTGCCTTGAAGTCACCATGTTGTCCAGGCTGGCCTCAAATTTGCAGCACTCCTCCTGCTCAGCCTCTGCAGTGCTGGGATTATAGGCTGGAGTCAACACACCCAATCTAAAATGGTCACTTTTGAATGCATGTAATTAATTAGGTAATCATTACCTCTGCACTAAAGAAGATAAAGATACTTTCTGGAAACACTGCCTAGAATAAATGTAAAGCAAGAGGAAAAATTAGCTCTATTAAAACACTTAGGAACAAGAAAATACCAATATAATAGAACCCCCCCAAAGAATAAAAAATACATATTAATCTAATTAGAAATTACTACTTGTCCTTCAGAATTAACAATAGCCATTTAAGCAATATTACTAGGCATTGCTCAGGGATTTTTTTTCTCTAATTCACTGAGTGATTTTTTTGAATCTTACTTCTCCATACCTTTATACTGATGATTCTAATATATCAAACTCTTATTCATATACTTTTGATTGTCTTTTGGTTATGGAAATATTAGAAATATTTTCATGACAAGAACTCTGTGTTTGAGAGCAAAAGACGTTATATAAAGTGTTAGCTATTGAAACTCAGAAACTCATATTCATCTATATTTCTAACCAGTCTATAAAATGTAACACCAGTTCTCCCCTAGGATTTCATGGAATTTATTTATTTTATTTCTTCTTTGCACAGTATTACAGCTCAGCTATGCATTTCCTTTACTTTAAAAGATAGCACACTGGGATGTGCCCTGCATTTACATAATGCAGAGAAAGAAGAACAGTTAAAATTGTTGGGAACATTTACATATAGAACGCCTCATCAAATATTACATTTAGGACAGCTACACTTTCCCTTATCCCTGACCCTTTCAAACTGCTTCAATATATTTTTGGCCTGGAGGAAAGATTAGCTTCAGCTAAGCCATGGATATATTTCTTAGAGAAACAAATGTTTTATAGAAGTCCCCAAACTGGCAGATTCTGAATCTCTTTATTCTCAGAAATCTGAGAGAATCCAAGTTCAAAGAACAGAGAATATAGCCCTAGTTTGTTTCACAGAGCATAATTTAGAATTTGATCTGTCTAGCTCATCTATAATAACATGACAATACATGCTTAAATAACTTCAGACATTTCACTTGCCTGAGTTCTGTTAAATGTAGCAAGCAAGTTTATAAATGAATTGTGTTTTTTTAAACAATGAAGTATGGCATAAAAAGTAAGTAAATGTCTAGTATGCACAACGTGCTCTATCTGTTCTCCAAGAATACAATACTAAATAAGAAATAGTTCAAGTTCTAAAGAAATTTACTAGTTTTTTGTTTCTGCTGCTGTTGCTATTGTTGTCATCATCCTTATTGTTTTTCCAAATTAAAGTAAAATTACATTTATAGGAGATGGGGTGTACTTAGACCTGATTGTAGACATGAATAAACACACTGTAAAGGAGATCACATTGGATACAGCATTGATGAACTTGCGATTTATGTGGAATTCTGGGGGACATAAATGATGTGAAACCATCCTGTGCTATGGTCTGAATGGTGCTATAGCCCCTAACATACATAAGAGGGAATCTAACACCAGATGTGACAGTAAGAGGTGGGGTCTTAGGAAAGTGACTTAATCATGATGGCTCCACAGTCATGATTGAGATCAGAGATCCTATAGAAAGGGCTTAAAAGAGGACCTTGATTCCTTCTCCCCTCCAAGAACACAGAGAAATTTACATTTTAGGAGCCAGAGAGCAGGGCACAAACTTGGAAAATGCTGCTGCCTTGATTTTGGACCACCCAGTCTCCAGGAGAGTGAGCAATACATTTTCACCGTTTAGAAAGTGTAATCATTCAAAGAGCCAGATATGGTGGCACACACCTATAATCCCAAGGGCTGAGGCAGGAGGACTTCTGGGAAAGCTACTTAGTGAATTCAAGATCACCCTCCAAAACACAGCAAGATCCTGTCTTAAATAAACAAGTAAACAAGTGAGCATGCTAAAGTATTTTGGCATAACAGCCTGAGTGAAATAAGAAAACCCAAATTTTAAAAATTACTTGGATAATTACAGCATTTCAGAGGTACATATTATCCTTGCTATGAGATCTACTGCAAGACAAAGTTGATGGTAGAAAATAGAGAATTAGTTAAGGTCATATATTTTTAGAAACCTAAATGACAATTGTAAAAAAATCAGATTTTACTCTATATTTATCATGGAAGCTTTGAAAGTATCTGAGCAGAGTCATTATTTTAAAAAACAAATCAGTTGTTATAGATAGAACTGTGTATAATGATTGCAGACTGCACTATTCACTTAAGACTTCAATTGAATATTATAATTAAATTATTTGCACTGGAGTATGGAAGAGGTGCTGATATAACTTTTTTGCATATGTATCCATGCTTATAATTTAATCTTGAAATTATATTCCTTAAATAATATTTTCTTAGTACATAAACCTACCCCTGAGGTCATCCTGAAGATCATCCTTTAGTCCAGAAAATTAGAGACAGTATTTGGTTAGATATTCAAAATGGTGCCGGGGATTTAGCTCAGAGGTTCCATGGCCTGCTGTGCAAGAACAAGGATCCGAGTTCAATGCCTGGTACCAGAAACAAAACAAAACAATACAAATATGGCATTGAGCTACTAACTCAGTGCTTAAAAAAAAAAAAAGCAAGGCACCCATTGTTATATGTAAATAGTTCTATATAAGTGGACTAAGAAGAGACTTTCTACTGTGGAGGAAAAGTAAACTTTAATGACATTTCACAGATTTCCATTGTGAAGTTAAAATTAAAATTCAAGGTTTTAAAAATAAACCAAAGCAAGCTTGTGCCCTAGACACCCCACCTCGGCAGCAGGTGGAGCTGCTCCTCCACAAACAACATCCCCACCACCACCCCATGCACCTCTTGTGTCTGGTACCTGAATTCACACCACAAAAGCAGAGGTCATTGTCATGAGTTCTAGGCTCAATTTTGATTTAATTCACAGTTAAAAATGTTAGATTAACACCTACCACAAATTGTCTTTTTCTAAGCTGTGCTTCAAACTTTTGGGTTACTGACTGTATCACTTGGGCTAAGTTGTTGTAATTGATCTAATCAGTTGTACATCCTGGCATAATGAAAATGAGATTGCCTCAGAGTCATTAGAGACTCAAAATTTAAAGACAAGCTATAACAGGAAGATCAAAGTATTAACCCAGGAATTAAACAAAGGACAGTACCGACAACAAATACAGAAATGAGAAGACATTCAAGCAAGCCACAAGCACAAAAATAGTCTGTCTATTCATTGAAGGCAAATGCTGGGGTAAATGAGGTGAAAAAGTCTGATAATCAAACACCTGAACACCCTAAACTAATACCACAGGAAGTAACAAAAGAGATGAATGTGGCTCTAGAATAATTCAAAACAGAAATAATTTCCTGGATAAATACAGACATGGTGAGCAGAATAAATGACATGATTAGAGACTCTAGAACAGAAACAGTTAAAAAATACATGAGCTTCAGACCATGAATGCAATGAATTAAGCCATGACTGCCCAGCATAGGAATGATGGAATCCTTGAAATAGATTTAAACAGTTATCCAGGAGATTAAAAACTCTATTGAAAGTTAACATAAAAGACTGAGCCAGTCTGAAGACAGGATACCAGACATAGAAAACAGGGTGGAGCCGGGGATTTAGCTCAGTGGTTCAGTGGCCTGACTTGCAAGCACAAGGACCCAAGTTCGATCCCAGGTACAAAAAAAAACAGGATGGAGATCAACCTCTTAAAAATACTAAGGGAACATGACAAATAAATCTAACAGCTCCTAGATGATATAAAAAAGAATAATAAAAGACTGATAGCAGTCCATGAAAAATCAGAAAAAAGTACAAATAGCATTTTAAAAAACTGTTCACAGAATTAATGACAGAAAACTTCCCAAACAAAGCAAAAGAATTTGACATGCAAATAAGTGAGGCTTATAGGACTCCAACTAGCCATTATCAAAAATTAAAAATAATCTACACCTAGGCCACCAATAATCAAGATGCCAGAAACCCAAAAGAATAACAAAATACTACAAGAAATTAGAGAAAAGAAACAGGTTACATGCAAAGGAAAGCTCATCAGAATCACAGCAGACTTTTTAACACAAACTCCCAAGTCAAGGAGAGCCTGGAGTAAAGTATTTCAAGCCCTAAAAGAAAACAACATCCAACCTAGACTGATGTATCCTTCAAAACTCTCTTTCAGAATTGATAGGGAAGCAAGATACTTCCATGACAAAGAACACCTGAGAATCTCAATAAATACCAAAGCAGCATTCCAAACAATTTTCAATAGTATCCTAGAAAAAGACAATGAAGATCACAACTCCATGAGGCTCAAAAGAGCAAATTCAGCAAGCAAGGCAAGAAATTAAAGGGAGAGGGGGAAAAAATTTAAAAGAGCCAATAGGACAATAACACGATGATGATAAGTCAATACATATCAGTTGTAACCATTAATGTTAATGGCCTCAATTCACCAATCAAAAGAAATCAACTGGCAGAATGGGTCAAGAATCAAAATCTAATAATACTCAAAAGAAACTCATAGACTGAAAGTTAAAGGATGGAAAACAATAGTCTATGTGACAGGAACCCAATAAAAAAGCAAGAGTAACTATTATCTTTGTAGATCAAGAGGATTTCAAACCAACACTGATTAAGAGAGACAAAGAAAGACACTACATCCTTGTAAAGGGAACGAACATCCCAAGAGAAATCATAATCATTGTAATCCCAACAGATGACAATCATAAATATATATACACCAAACACAAGTGCACTCAACTATACAAAACAAATAGTAACGAACATGAAAAATCGTATAGACATGAATATAATTGTAGTAGGGGACATAAATATCCAACTGTCACAAATAGATCATGTAGACAAAAAAAAAAAAAAAAAAAAAAAACAGAAAAAAAAAAAAAAAAAAAAAAATGAACACCAAAATACTAGAACTGAGCCAAGCTTTTGAACAAATGATTTTAACAGATCTCTACAGTGTTCCACACCATAAAATCAGAGTATACATTCTTTTCAGATTCACACGTGTCATTCTCTAAAAGAGACCATGTAGTAGCTCATAGAACTTGTTTAAGTAAATGTAAAGGAATTAAAATTATCCCATATATATTATCAGGCCAAAATGCAATTAACTGGAGATCAATAGCAAAGGAAACTACAAGCACTTCACAAACACATGGAAATTGAATAGTACTCTCCTGAACAACCAAAGGGTTACAGAAGAAATTAAAGAATAAATTAGATTTTTTTTTTATAAATAAATGATACTGCTAATACCACATGCAGGAATCTATTGGACAAAATGAAAGCAATTCTATGAGGAAAATTTATAGCAGTGAATGCGTACAATAGGAAAATAGAGCGAGCTCAAATAAGCAACCTAATGCTCAATCTTAAGCTTCTAGAAAAAGAAGAGCAAGACAAATCCAAAGCATGACAAGGGAAGAAATTTTAAAGATCAGAGCAAAAATCAGTGCCATGCAAAATGAGAAAATGTTACAAAAAATCAGTGAATCAGAGTTAATTTTACAAAAGAATAAATAAAATTGATAAACACTTAGCCAAACCTATCTAAAAAGAAAAAAAAAGAAAAAGAAGGAAAAAAAGAAAGAAAGAAAAGGCTCAAATCCATGCAATTAGGAAAGAAAAAGATGAAGTCACTAAAGATCCAGCAGAAATCCAGAGCGACATCAACACCTACTTTGAGAATCTGTACTGTAATAATATGGAATACACAGAAAAACTGGACAGATTTCTAGATATATGTGAATTACCAAAGTTGAATGAAGAAGATATAAAATTTCTTAGCACCCAAATTGCAATCAGTGAAATTGGAAATGTAATTAAAAATTTATCAACAAGTAAAAGCCCAAGTCCTGACAGATTCACTGCTGAATTCTACAAGACATTTAGAAAGCTATTGTCAATAATCATTAAACTTTTCTATGAAATCGAAAGGGAAGCAATACTTCTAAATTCATTACTAGAAGCAAGTGTTACTTTGATTCCTAAAATAGGGAAAGACCCAACCAAAAAGGAGAAATACAGGCCAATCTCCCTAATGAACATAGATGCAAAATTCCAAATTAAGATATTGGCAAACAGAATACAGAGGGTCATCAAGGAGATCATACACCCGAGATAATAGTCCTTCGTCTAAGGAGCAGCTGGTAAAAATTGTTCCCACATTGTAGGTTGTCTTTTAGTACTGTTGACGGTTTCTTTTGCAGTTCAGAAGCTTTTTAATAAGATGAGATGCCAGTTTTTTTATTATTTTGCTAGTTCCTGTGCTAGTGAGGATTTGTTCATAAAGTCTTTTCCTATGCCAATGTCTTCAAGAGTTCTGCCTAACTTATCTTCCAGCAAATTAATGTCTCTTTTTTAATATTTTTATTTATATTTTTAGTGTCTCTTTTTAATATTTAGATCTTTAATGCACTTGGATTTTAGTTTAGTGCATGGTGAAAGATAAGGATCTAGTTTTAATCTTTTACCCACTTATATTTGTTCCACTACAAAATTTATTTTACATTTCCTATATTTTAAAAATTTTATTAGTATGTTTCCAGTACGTAATAATTACATTCATCATGGGAGGTTAGTACATCGACATAACATATCTTAAAATTTTTTCCTTCCTATTTTAAAAATTAAGAGCAGGAAATCTCTTTCTAGAAGAAATAGAAAAAGATTTGACTATCAGATTCTATACTTCATATAGTTTTACACAGGAGTGCAAATGACGTGGTGCAGAGAATAATGGACCTTCATAAACATGTTGCTTTTAGCTCAACAGCACTCCTATTAGGACTGTTACCTACAGAACTATAAGCTAATAAATCTGTATTATTTTGAAATCACTACATTTGTATGAGTCCACAATAGCAACAATAGGAAACTAATTAGATGCTTTGCTATTAGAGAAAATAGGTAGATAAGGAAACAGAATACAAAGTCTAAAAACAGGTCCAGATGACTTTGAGTAACACTGAGAAGAAAACAGTCTTTTCAGTATATGATGGAGTACAGGATTGGCCATTTGAAAAAGTATAATTTAGACTTCTAATATAGTAATATGGGAGAAGATCCTTATGATTTATTTGTTACAAAGACGGCATTAAAAGTTTTGCAAGGCAGGGTTCAGGGTGGAATAATGTATTTGCAAGACATAGTATTACATAACATATATAAAACTCCTTTAAGAGTCTAAGAAAATTCAGAATACCCAAAAGAAAAAATTGGTGAAAACTCAAATGTCTGTGAAAGAACAAATTCAAAGTACACAGAAGTAGATGGCCTAGCAGTCGACCTCATAGTAATCAGGAATAAGTAAATTAAACCAAAATCCCCTTTCGAAAATGACAGAAGGAAAGAGGTGGAGGAACACATGAAGAAGAAAGAGGAAGACAAGAAGAAAGATAGAAGATTGGAAGGGAAGAGAAAGGAAGGGGAAAAGAAGGAAAGAAGGAAATGAGGGAAGGAAGTAAACAAAAGAA